TAACTATATTTAGACATTCTTTTTCTGATTCAGAAACTCAAACATGTCAGGGCTTTATTAAAATCCAAAGGCTGATTTCATTACCCTGACTTCAGATTTGCGTAGTGTTTTCACTACAAATCGGTTGTCCGTGGACAAAATGAAGAAGTTGCCGGGTTTCAAACTTGAAGTGACCTTCCTTAAAGTTTCGTCACTACAAATCGATATCATGTAACACTCGTGGTTGATATTTTCGAGCTCTTGTATAAGCCTGGCAGAGGAATTTCAACAAACAATTTAGCTATGAGACACGATATATAATCCAACCATTAAAACATGGTCAAAAATAAAAATGACAAAACCTGAAAGCTCTAGGACAATAATCTTTCCATTCAAAGGCAGTAATTGATCCTGGAGGGAGACTAAGACACTGCTGTCTGGAATAATGAACCCAATATCTTTGCGAATCTGTTAAATCCGAAGCTGAAATATCCTTCTTGAATCTGCCATCTATCTCCCTCCCTGCCAAAAAAAATAGTTATGATTTGATGATAAATGAATAAGAAAAACCTCATTTTGGTGGGATAACTGAATTTGATTCCATCTTTTTCTCTTGCTTTTTTTTTCAGTGAAGGTCCTAAAGAATTGCAAGAATATTGATGTCCTTGAATTTAAAGAAACCCCAAAGAAAAGAAAAGAAAAAAAGATCCTTTCTTTGCCCACTTTATTTTTGGGGTTTGAAATTTGCATTATAATATACTATTCTAATTTGTTGGAAAATGGCCGGTGGAGAGCAGAAGGCGAAACAACATTTCGCGGCTGAATCAGTTATGGGATATTCAAAGTGGGGTGGTGGTTCCAACGAACTACTTTCATTTTAGGACAACATTTCGTGTCCGGTTTAGTATAGTTCAGTTTAGAGTTGGAATCCGCTTCAATTGGGATGAGGATGAATATAAATTTAGTGAGTAGTGGGCGGGTGTGAGTGTAAAATGTCATACCCGCAGTGAATAATGGGTAGGTAATGAGTTTGAGAAATTGAGACCTTACTTGTCTTGCGGCCACTAATTACTCACCATGTAAAATTTGGATTATTATGAATTTAAGTATAATTTTAGATATTATTGTATAAATCTTAAGATTTTTATAGGACATGATTTGTAATTTAAATAAATGTAAGCGTATAAACATTTTTAAAATTGAAGATAACCGTTTCTCCTATCTCAAATTGATGTATATAAACAAATACATAATGAGTAGTAGATATCTAATTAGGTAGCGAGTGTGTGGATGAATTTAAAAATACATTGATGTGTACAGAAATATTAAATAGGGATGGAGAAGGAGGATCCACAGTTGCCCTGCCCATTAGCGATTTATAGTAAGTATGGTTGAAGAAATTATTTGATAGACCATACTTACTATATTATCCGTGATATTAGAGAATAAGAGTCACAAATTTTAAAATAATTTCTAAATAATCACTCATTTTTTTATTTACATGTAATGAAGAGATGAAGATTCATCTTTAAAAAAAATATACGGACAACGTCGTAACCAGAAACCTTCTAATAATTTTTCGTATAGTTGGGTTGGTTTTTCTATTAGGGGAAAGTACAATAATAGTACTTAAGCTATGATTTTCTTATGGATTTGGTCAACTTGCTTGTAAAAGTTACACAATAATCAATAAAGATACCCAAAAGTTACATTATAAAATCATCATAAACTTTATTTTGAGATATGAAAATTCATAATTTATTTTTTGAAATTATAATTATCTGAAAAAAAGTATAAATGGAAATAACATCAATTACATAAATCCAATCGAATTAATACAAAGTATAAATCTAGGTGGTAAGAAAACTATAATTTAAAGGCTATTAGTGTACTTTCACTTTCTTATGTCTACAGACTATAAAAAAACCTTAGATGATGAGTAAATTACATAAATGATCCCCTAACTATAGGTTATTGCTTTATCAAGTGACCATTAGAAGTTATAAAACGATCATCTGACTGTACAATGTTACTTTGTTGAGTCCCTCAATTGTTAAAAAATTTAACAAAAAATGATGAGTTTTTACCATAATAAACAGTCATACGACCATTTTGTAATTTTTAATAGTTGAGAATTTAATAAAACAATACTTTATAGTCAGGGGACCATTTCTGTACTTTTCCCAAAATTTTAAGCCTTTTATGCTAAAGGTCAATTGTACTGTGCAATAATAGATTATATATATGGCGATTTAATTAAGATAGATTCTAATATGACCATTGATATTTTAATTTTATCATTCATACCATTTCATTATTTGAATGATGTCAATCAAATCACCTATTGTTAACATTTAACGGAGGAGTGAATGTGATAGTTAATAAATTTTGTATAATTACATAATTGATCTTCTTACTTGCACATTCTGTCAATTTAGTCATAATTTTAGTTTACTTCAATAAATATGAACAAATATTAAATTTAGCTTTAAAGTATAAAAATTTTAAACTTATTTAATCTTACATTAACTACAGTTTAAAAATTATATGAAATGTGTCCAATTATAATATAATTATTAGAATTACATCAGTGACTTATGTGCTCCCATACTCTCTAATTGGTCTTTTATTTTTTTATGGCACTAACTGCAATATGAGTATATACAAAATGATATAATTCATATCCCAAATATATAGTTTGGCCTAGCGATTAAGACATGTTCAATCCTTTATTCAGACTCAGAATTATTTTTTGTCAATATCATTCTTCTTCAATTTATTTGTTATCCAATCAGATGGTGATACGAGTCATTATCTTATTAAAATATTTAATTTATTATATTAAATTAGAATTAGAATATAGAAATAATGAGACCATTGTCCCCTTCCTATTTATTATCATCAAGAATGTTAGACTTGGTTGAAATTCATAAGGCATTTCAATATCATCATTAGTGGAGTAAGTTGCCTTTGGACTCTGATTCCCAATCTTCGTTCTACCAGATGAATTTAAATGTGTAAGAATCCTACAAACCTTTGAACACTTCTCCACGATAAATGTAGCATATTACGATAAGATACTAATGGAGGTTTGATAGGGGGTCGATACAAGTGATGACGACAGTGGCGATGATGCTCTCCGCTAGCCGGTCGACGACTTTTGGAAGGGGACAAGAAAAGGGGAAAGAGTTGCTCCACGTGGGTTTGGGGAGCTTTATTTTTACAATTTTTTTATATTTTTTTTTAAAAAAATTCAAAATTACCAAAATTTGACATTTGTCACTTAACAGAGATATTTAATGATGATTAATGTCTGGATACCTAAAAGTGTAACGTTTAAAACATTAGGCATATATTTTTAGAGAAAAAATCTTTAGACACTAAAATGTTTTTCGAGGCATAGTTTTGGCAGTTATTTTTTAATTAAGCCTTAAAAATATTTTATTAGCATTTGAAAGATTATAACTTCAAATCTTAATACTTTAAAAAATAGTAAAATTAATTTAGTTTTATTTCTAAAAAAATTTATGTCATCTTCCCTTTCCCCTTTTATTTTTATTTAGTCTACGTCGACATCAATTTAAATATTAGTTATCAATTGTTAGTAGTCATCAGGCTCATCCCAAAAGATGTGGAAGCCTTGTTCTACTTTTTAAAATGAGACCCTTAAAATATTTTATAATAAAAATAAAATTATAAAATGAGGTCCATAAAATATTTTTTCCTTTAGAAATCATTATTTTAGTTGTGTTTTTATTAATAATAAATTATTACAATTCATTTATTGTAAGATTTTTTAGGAAGAAAATATTATAATTCATTTATTGAGATATTAAAGAAGAAAATTAAAAACTTTTTTAAATCTTATCATGAAAATTAATAAATGAATGATAGTAAATTTTTTTGGTAAAATAATTTTTTATTAACAATTTTTTTAAGTGAGGGGCTCCTAAAATTTTGAGGCTATGTGATATATCATATCCTACATATGTAAAAGGACGGACACGATGGTCATTAGTTCTCTTGTTTTTCATACTATGTTTTTCGTTTGCTTTTTTTCTTTAGCTTTTTTAATTTTGAATAATAAACTATGTCCTCATGACACATTTTCCTTTTCTCTTGTGACACACCCTTATGATTTTTGGTAAATTTTTTCGTATATCTTTGTGGTCGTTTTGATGTTTACACAAAAAACTATCGCAACATTTATTTTTTGATTGGTTTGTCAGTGGTCGCGTATAGTCAGATCCCCTATTTGGTAAAAGGTTGTTTGCTCATATAATCAGAATTGTGTAGCGAAGCAGCCTGCCAAATAGTTTGGTTCGCTCACCACTCCTTTATCACTTCGTAAAGTGTCTCGTTCGACAGAAACAGAAAGTTTTTACGAAGGTTAATGGCTTCTTTTAATGTTGGTCGTCATTCTCAATGGAATGTTCCATTTTCCTATGTACTTTTGAGTTTAATATTTTTATTTTTGTATGAGTTTTACGTGACTATTGTCTCCAATTTTCTCTTTATGTTCGGGTACGTTGTAATTCTTATTCCTTTCATTATTTTTATTAATGAAATTAAGTTGTCAAAAAATAAAATAAAATTAATGACACATGAATAAAATAGTTATTATAGAATAATATCAATAAGAATTGATATGGAATATTTTAAATTTTAAAAATCAATTTAGAATAAAAATAATAGTTTAGAGATTGATGTAAAGTATGTTAGAATTTAAAGACCAATTCATAATCGAACTTAATTATGTTTAAGTGGAACTGAATACCATACAAGTATTATTTGTGATTGGCACTGCAGGGTACTAAAACGGAGTCCATGATTTAGAAATTAGCCAGTGACAAGAAGTTACTGTATTCTAACTTGGCATCTAAAATCATTTTGAGTTGTGGAAAGAAATGAAGGAATTAATTTGGCAATATGGTAGTTAAACCAGTGTGTTCAGCGCGCGATTATGATTTATGCGTATACAAATGCTCTCTTTAAGTAATCAAAAGGGGAAAAAATAATGCTTATACTCGGGTCCTGTGATCGGCAGCATACTGGGACAAAGGAACGACTTCCGGCAAAGGTGTAGAAAGCGGAGTCGGGAGCGGGGAGTTCCGACAGACGGGGCAAGACCCATTAAGTTTCAACCAAGCGTCGACACAGGGAACATGGAAATAATGCCTACACTCGGGCATCATCCTCAACGTCTCCGAATCTCTATACTCGCTCAAGCAAATCGAACACGTCGTGTTAACCTCACCGGGGCCAGCGGCGGACGGTTGATCTTTACCGAACTGGAACTTGGGGTAAGAATTTATAACGGCCTGGTCGAGCCCCACGACGGCGTTCCCGTTGTCCTCGTCTTCGGCGACGAAAATGATCCTGGGGAGAGTGATTCCATCGGAGTCGGGAGAGGCGGTGGTGTTGGGAGTGGAGGAGCGGCAACAGATGTAGGAGGCTAGGAGGACGGTGGAGAGGAGGGCAAGGAATCCAAGGGCGATGACGATTGAATAACCGAGGCCTAAGTTTGCGAGATAATTAGGGGAAGGAGTGGACATCGAGGATCCATTTGGTGAAAGAAAAAGACTATGGAGAGAGGAAGAAGAAGAAGAAGAAGAAGAAGAAGAAGAAGAATAAGAAGAAGAAAGGTGGGTGGACGCTGCTGCTGCTGCTGCATTTAATACTGGCATTTATAGTTGTGCTTTTGATTTTTCTCGGCTTTCAGATATTTTTGCATGGAGGTTGAGACCATGAAGCTCGGAGATTGACATGGATTGCTGAATCGTCCAAACTCAGTTCAGAGCTCAAAGTTTGATCGAGTTAATCAAACTGACTTGACAGCTGGAAGTTGACATGTTCATCTTCATATTCTATTCATTGCTTATGTACCCGTGACCTATATGACTAGGTGTTTTTGGGTGGGAGAATGTGAAATTTTTACGGGAATGAAATTTATATTCTCCTGTTTGATTGGCTGAGAATGTCATTATCGGTAATCTTACATTAATAATAGTAGATTTTTTTGGGATATATTACCGGGAATATTATTACCTCCATTTCCTTAGGTATTGTTGGATTACCGACGTTTTGGACTAAAATGCCCTTAATTTTTTTTTCAAAAATATCTTTATTCTGTCATTGAATAATAAAAATTCTACAGAGGTTAAATTACAAATTTATCCTTAAACAATTTTAGATTTACAAAAAAAATCTATAATTAAAATTTTATATGAAGTTTAGTGGTTAAAATAAAATTTTACCCTTTCATTAAACCTTTTTATATTTTCAATTTTGTAAAAAATTATATAAATTTTATGAATTTAAATTTTTTAAAGAAAATATATAAATATTTTTCAACTTGTTAAAAAATATATAATAAGGACAATTTGGTCAATATACATTCTAATAATCTTTTATTTTTTTAATCAAACACGGTAATCTTACATTCCTGCTAAACCAACCAAACACAAAATACAACATTCTCATTAATCCTATTAACTGGTAATATTTTATTCCCACTGGTAATCTTACATTCCGTGAACCAAACGCATCCTAAGAAATTTCATATTCTCTCGAGGAACTCAAGGACGGGGATTCAACACTTTGATTTTTATGTCATAAATAATTGTATTTTTTACGAGAAATTATTAGATGGATTTGATTCACCACGTTATTCGTGGTGTCAATAGACGAGAGTCATAAGTTTTAAAATAAATTTTAAATAACTACTAGCTTCTTATTTACATGTAAGAGAGAGATAAAGATTTATCTTGAAATCAAATGATATGAACAAATATTATTGATTATGATCATAATTTTTCCAGTTTTTATTCCTTCATTACTTGTGTGAATGTAGGTCCTTTTGAACATGATCATCCAGATTCTTGAAAAGAAAATTGTAAATTTGCAGATGACTTTGTTCAATAATAAGACGATGTTAAAAAAACATAATTTTTGACAAATGCTTGGAGTTCCATCATATATATACCGGAAAGAGGAAATAAATAATGAATCAAAACCAGTCTTTGAGAATAGGAAGCTTGATCTCTCCTTGACGAGTGACGGGGATGGTGATGTCTCCAAAGACGGGAAGATCAATGATGAGTTTAACGTTGAGTTCATAGACAATATCCCAGTCCCTGCAAATGTCCTTGGCCAAGCTTATCAGTACGTTGTGCGGCACCTTCATCGGCAATTCCGGTATTGTCGTTTCGTTCCCTTCAAAGGCCCTGAATCCTCTATTTTCCCTCTCACAATCTCGCTGTTTCATGATTACATACCCTCAGTTTTATTTTATTTTTTACAATATGTTTTACAGTACAGTACTTGTATAAAACAAACCTGCCGTCGCTTTTTAAATCAAACTGAATTTCACATATGGGGATGGAATGGCTATAGGGGTTGTGACGGCACCTTGGCGCCGTATTCGACGCCGTCCCTGCTCACACTGTTTATATCGACGCCCTTAATGCTGGCTTCCGGCTTCCTCATCTCCGCCACCTTCCCCGACACCAAGTTCTTCACCATCTATACCATATTTTAGATACATGTGTTAATATTTGAAGTCTTTTCTCTCTCGGATGACACTTTTCTTTTCTTTTTTTACAAATTAGTTATATCAAATATTGATTTAATCAATCCTTTAAATGATTATCAAGCAAAACAAACCCAGTAGGGAAAAGAATAGATGCAAACCTCCATTGATAGTCACTGGAATCACTTACAAATTTAAAGGAAGATGATGAAATGCAGCTGAAAATGGGCAAGTTAAAGACAATAATGCAGTTTAATTTTGTTTATTTTAGGTAAATTTTGTCATTGCTATTGTTATCATGGTCTGGATAAAAAGGATTTTTGGCCGATTCATGGTCTCGAGTTTGAACCATACAATTTTTTTGTGCTGTTCCAACGGGAATTGGCATCAAGTTTCACCCAAACAAATTTCAAGATTTTTTATTTATTTTGTAACTTATTCCTACGGATAGACCAATTTATATATATTTTTTGTTGGAATCAAATTAGAAATAGGGTTTGTCATCTTCATGTGTGTTTTGGCAGATTTGAACTTAGAAGTTAGAACATAACAAATAAATGAATTCACTCATACTATTTAGTCATCATTTCTGTGAAGTACACTCATCTGTGTGTGGTGCTTCAAGTAAGCGAACTGAGGGTAAAAGAACCCTTGACATCTCGCGTGCCCCCAAAAAGAAGAATCTTAAATCTTTGATAGGGCTGTAAACAAGTCGACTAGACTTATACTCACGAACTTAAAATTTAAAATTTTCAAGTTCCACTCAAAATCAAAAATTGAAGCTAGATTCGAACTCAAACCCGAATTTTGCGTACTTGAAAGTCTTATATTTTATTTTATTTTCAATAATTCAATAAATGGGTTATAAGAAAGACTACGGCTTGGAAATCAAAAGGAACAATCTGCCATCAGCTGATAATCATCTTCTTAAAAAATTCAGCTTCTTCAGGAAAATATTCCAACAGTTCATCCTTGGTCACCCAGACAAAATCCTCGCATTTCCGGATGTTGAACTTGTTGGTATCAATCACTTGAGACTTGAAGAAGAATCGCTGACAAAAAGAAAAGCACCAAGTGAAATGCATGTATGTTACCCATACGAGATTGTGATTTGATTAAAAGGACTAGCAGAGACGAGCATTATATCAACACGGGAAGAAGAAAATAGAACCACTTCGCTTGAAATACCTTATATGGTTCGGGCACATTCTCCTTCGGCTCTATAACCATATGCCCCATGGGAGCATTCCCAACGAAGTAAGTGTTAGAAAGGTCTCCAAGTACAGATTCTAAGCCAGACTCTGCACACTGCAAATATTATATGTACTTATATCACGTCAAGAAAACAACAAGAAACAAGAAAAGGAAAGAACACTTACCTTGCGCAATGTTTCCTTGGAATCGTAAACTTTTTCTGGAAAATGCCACACAGGTTTCCCACTAGGAGCTCCATTACTATCACCATAAAGAAGAAGATACAGTCTTCTATCAAGTGCCCTCTGCAATGACCTTGACAAATATAAAATTCAGAACTTCCCTAATCAGAATATTGTACTAAAATACTATAATAGCACAAATTAACTAATTTCATTTTTTATCCACACAAGCAACAACAATCACTAAGAGGAAGAAAATATCTTCTCGAGAATGATGTTTATTGTCCTTCACATAACTAGTTGAGAAAAGCACTTTGAGATCCAACTCAGACCTTTTCTTCCAATAAATTGTTAATTACTGATGATATATATCTGATCTCTATCAAACAAAGGATAACGTATTGGCAACAGTGTTATACTGAACGGAACAAAATGTACCACTTTATTTCCGTCATTCGTCATGTAAGCTTCCTAGAGACAATTAATTCAGATTTCAGGCCATTTATTCCTAAAAATTGTTAATTCTTGACAACATATATCAGATCTCTTTCAAACAAAGTATGATCTCTTGGTAATAGTTCCAAAGAGCAATATGAAATGTACCACTTACTTTCTGTCATTTGTTTTGTCAGCTTCAGTGATCCTTGGAGCTGGAACATAGTCAATTTGGTAGTCACCTTTTCCCCTGGTTATACAACAAATTCACTTTGTTAGCTGCAAAGAAAAAACCATCTTTGTTGCACTTTGCCTCTTTTTCTGAATCTGCAAATTTGTACTCGGATGCTCCACGCAGGCACTCATTGGAAGTACAAAGCAAGGAGAATGCGAATAACATATATAATGTAACCTGATGAACAATGACTTTCTCTTATTCTCTATTACTTACGTATTCCATGAGAACTCCCATAACAAAGCCAAAATTAGACATCTTGAATCAACCATGAGGCTGTCGTTTATCAATTGAAAAAAAATAGACCTAAATTACTTCACATTGTCTTCCCTGAACCAACTCTAAATCTCACGAGACACAGTTCATTTCGATAAACCAATTGATTTCCTGTTTTTTAGTTCTTATTTCTGACTTGGATGTAAGAAAAAGTTTATGCAGATGAAGAAAATAAAGAACTCTTATCCAGTAACCAATTAAGTATGGATCAAAAAGGACCTAACACTACTACAATATGTAATACAAAGGAATGAAATTTCAAACTTGCCTAGATTTAGACATGTCCAAGAACTCATCAGGATATTTGCGTCTATATTGCTGCCGCCACCGAAAGCTGCATAAAAACATAAATTCCAAGCCTTTCATCTCATTCATTAAAACCATAATTTGCAGCTAAAAATTAGAACGAAAAAGAATGATATTTCGCGTAATAAGCCATCAATCAGGGATAAACAAGTTCGGCTTTTTTCCCCCTTCAAGCTATTTCAAGTGTTCATTTCTCAATCGCTGAACTAATTAATTTATTCTCTAGCAAATGGAAATCTAAGATATCCTATAAGGAAGAAGATTCACAAATTTTCTAGCCAGATAAACAAGGAGGAGCAAATGAAGACTTACGAGAACTCTTGAAACGCATAAACCACAGGATCCATTTTGGGAATAACGACGGGTAATCTCTCGAACAGAACGGAGGCCACAATTTTCTCGGAGCTCGTGGAAAACCCACGCGCCCCCGCGAGTGGTCGAAGCAGCGATGTTAACGATCTGCGCATTCTCTACCTACAAAGAGAAAAGCCCTGCTTAAACCCTAAAATGAAATTGCAGTGTCATGTAACAGTGAGGGAGAGCAGAGAGAAATGTCTGCACCTTTTTTCTTCTCTGTATTTTCTTGTGGGCCAAACAGGGTTGCGTTGAAGATTTTCTCTTCTTCTTTAGGAAACAGGGTTTTGTGGTTGTAGGGAGCCACTGGACCCTGGTTCCACGGTCCAGTTTATAACCATCAACCGGACTGAAAGTTCATTATCCAATTGCCATTGGATCTTTAAGTGGTCCATTTCCCGCCGCACCAAAGGCAACGGGCATCCAAATGGATAAATCTTTAAGCTTCTAGTAACTTTTTTTTTTGTGAAATGTATGATTCATTGAACAAGATCATACACGGGTGAATATTGATAAAGGCCACATTAAAAACTTTCCTAACCTAAAGGGAGGAAAAGAGTACTTATATTAATATCATACAAAAAAACAACCAACAACCACGCTTAATTAAAAACAATATCGTCTTGTAGCACCGGAAGAATTCATGGAAGAGGATCGATCAAGAAAAAGCTTTCCACAATTTCAGCACGAGCACTCTTAGCCAGCAAATCAGCCACATAATTATTTCCTATAGCTCATGCAAGATTGTTTGAGGTATTACTCTTGTAGCACCGGAAGAATTCATGGAGGAGGATCAATCAAGAAAAAGCTTTCCACAATTTCAGCACGAGCACTCTTAGCCAGCAAATCAGCCACATAATTATTTCCTATAGCTCATGCAAGATTGTTGAGGTATTACAATTGCAAGGAAACTAAGGGGATATTTGTTAAAACAAAATGGTTTAGCAGTCTGAATGATTAAAAGGCTCTGTATGATATAGTTTTGAATAGAAAATTTGTTTGATAATACATCTTAATGGCCGGTCTGAATGACAAAAAATGACCATATTGCCCTTCTGTATGATTTTGCGCCAAAATAAAATATATTTGTTTCTACCTTGCGAATAAATGCTAAAAAAATATTTTACTTTTTTATGTTTATAAAAACACATTTTTTGTCAAAATTATTAACAATCATAACAAAATATAAAATCAAGTAACTTAAAAACAAATTTTTTAGACAAATTATCAACATTCATAATAAACAAATCTACTAACCTGAAATGACATAAAAGAGTGGTTTATGTTTTTGATGAAACAAAATACATAACAAGCATTCTTTTGTTCTAGACAAATCAACCCAAAAAAAAAATATTAATTTGAAGCATTTAAAAACAACTGATTAGCAATGTGATCACGTAGATTAGCCATATACTCATTGCCTTGAGGACCTCATTCAACTTCATTTATCTTGTCTTGTTCGTTTCCATTATCTTGTTCTTCACTAGCAAACATGTTGTTCTCGTCGAAATCCATAAATAATTGATCATAAACTTTGCATTTTCTTATAAAATTATGGACCGCAAAACATGCAATCACTATGTCTCATTGTATTGGAAAAGGATAAGGAGTCATTTGCTTTAGGATTGGGAATCTTGCTTTCAGAACTCCGTAGGCACGCTCTATAACATTTCTAAGTTGTGCATGAGCATGATTGAACCTTTCCTTCTTGGTTACGGCACGTTGACGTCGAAAATTTGCTAGCCAATACCTCATATTATGATATGGAGTCATAAAGCCACGAGTGTTGGTATGCAGCATCACAAAGGTAATACTTATATGTTATTTATATATGAGTATTAAAATTTTGTTACAAAAAACTATAAATAAATGTAATGAATTAAAACATTTTAATATGATAGAAAGAAATGATATATACCTTGTGGAGGAAAAGGAAAACCCGAGTTTGGATTAAATGCAACTTCTGTCAAAACTCTAGAATCATATGTTATGCCCTCACATCCAGCCCACACAAATGTGAATATCATATTGTCGGAACCGTCTTTCGGTTGGGGCCCGGAATTAGGTTTCGACTTGAATGAATTGGGTTAGAGTCACCACCGACCACTTTAAAATGAATTTAGGTGGGTCGAACACCATCTTACCTGATCTGCGTTGTACCAGAAACGTGTCGGGTTCGGGAGTCGGTTACAGTCAAGGAAGGATTAGCACCCTTGAACCCCCCTTTCGGTACCAATTAATTCATCGGTTATCTTTAATTGCGAAAATTAAAATTTAAAATTAAAATTTAAAATTAAAATTTAAAAAATCCGATTCGAATTACTTACCTCTCTGATCGATTTACGAAGACCCCTTAAAAAAGAAATGTTAAATAAAAAAACAATGAATAAAAAATGTAATAATCAAATTAACTAAAATGATAAATCAAGGAGAAAATAAATAAATAAATAAATAAATAAATAAGGGAAAAATGAATAAAAGGAAAAAATATTAAATAAATAAAAAACATTTAAGGGAAATGAAAGAATAATAATAATAATAATAATAAATATTAAAAGAAAATTAAAAAAAAAAAAAAAAATAGAGGGCCAAATTGAGACTACCCCAAAATTAAGGGATTAAATTGAAAAAAAAATTAGCTGCAAAATGAAGAATAAAAGGTTAGGAGGATTAAACAATAATTAATCCTAAATTTTGAATATTGACTAAAATATGAACAAAATAAAATTTGAAATCCGAATTAAAACTGTTGAAAATTCAATCCAGTGACCAAAGTGTAAATGTTGCATCTTACAGTGACCGAGGAAACGGATTACCCGTGCACGAAAAATGAGCAGAAACCTCTTGCAAAACGACTTAGTTTTGGAATATCTATATATACATAAAACTAAGGCTTGATTCAACCTCACCCCCCCATTTGTTACAATATCAGAAAAATAAAAGGGAGAGAGAGAGTTGGAAACTCTCTCAACCCCTAGCCGGAGAAGGTCCATCCGCCGCTTCCCGCCGCTCCGGCCGCCACTGGCGGCCGGAAAGAACTCGAAGTCTCCAAAACGTTCGTTCCAGTCCAGTGAGCCTAAAACCCATGACCAAATCCCCAAAATAGACCCAAATAAACGCAGATCTAAACAAAAAAAACCGCTCAGTATCTACCCTTTCTTGACGAAAACTCTTCGCCTTCTCAGTGGCTCTTCGGTTCCGACGAGCCTCTTTCTTTGCTCGGGTCTCGCTCGTTTATTTTGTGTGTGCTTTTATGAGTTTTGTTTCTGCTTTTGGTTTATGGTTGTGCTTCATTGTTTTGCTGGTGGCTTTTGTGTGTATTGTTGCTCGATGGTTTTGTTTTTTCTCACTGTTGGTTCTCGGCTTACTCTCTGTTGATGGTTCTATGTGTTGATGGTCGTTTGTTCTCTCTGTGGATACCGTTGATGGTACTGTTGTTGGTGTTTTTGTCTAGATTTGGTTGTGTTTAGCTGTGTTGCCTGGTTTCGCTCGGTTTACTGTTGATCCTCCCTCTCTGTCCTGTTCTGTCTGGGGGTATTTATACTCTCTCGGCCGGTGAGCGTTACCGAACTTCACGGGATGGGTCAGTCCCGTGTGGTGGCGCAATTTTTGACCTGTGGGAAACTGAGCTGTTGTGACTCGATTCTTGCGAGATTTGCGTTCTGTTATGGAACGTGTTTGTTGCATGTTTGACCGGTTTCATTTCCAGTGACGGCTGATGCTTCTGGCTGTTGAAATTGCTTCTGGCCGTTGGATTGGGTCAGATCCAACGGTCCAGATCTGGCTGCTCATTTGATGGAATATTTAGTGATTCAGAACCCTAGTTATCATGTGATTTAAGCCGTTGATCACTGCTTGATCTAACGGCTGTGCGGCGCTGGGACTAAGTTTAAAAACCCTAGCTTGGCAACTGGGTTGGGTCAGGCCCACCTGATCTGCTTGGACCTCATTCTGGACCCTGAACAGAAAAAAAAGAACAAAATAATTAAATAAGAAATAATAATAATAAATAAAATAATTACAATAATAATAAATGATAATAAATAATAATAATATAATAATAATATAATATATATATATATATATATATATATATTTTAAAAAAACATATAATATATAATTTCCAAAATGTTTTTTTTAATTATATAATATATATATTTTAAAAAATGTTTTCAAAACTATATATCATATAAATTTTCAAAAATGTTTTTCAAAACTATATATTATATACGTTTTCAAAATATATATATATATTATATACATTTTCAAAATGTTTTCAAAGACTATATATTATATACATTTTTTAAAATGTTTTCGAAAAAAACATATATTATATATCATATAATATATACTTTTCAAAAAGCTATTCTCAAAATTATATATATTATATGTATTTTAAAACATTTGTAAACTATATAATATATAGATATGTATATATAAATAAAAATCAGACGAAAATAGGTGTCTACAGCTGCCCCTCTTTGTTCTTTTTCGTGGAACGAAATATAGGACAAAGATAGAAAAGACACCAATTTTCGTTCGGTGGAGTTGAAGAATAACTCCCTGTCGAATTGGGTTGCGGATTCTTGTTGCCCAATTGTGGTCAACCTCGGTCTTCTTCTCGGTTTAAAGACATTGGTTAAAAATTCGACTGTAAAGCAGTTCCTTGACTCCACCATGTGATTGATAGGCCCTTGAGCTGAATAAAACCGAACTAGAAAGATCCTCGTCGACAGATGACTTTTCTCGACTTAAGTTATGCTATCGGAAAGCGGTTTTTTGTCACTAAGGCACGGTTAACCCAGATATTCTTCTCGACTTGAAAACCTTGATTGCAGCCGGACAATAGTGTGATTGAGGTGTTATCGAGCTGATTGGAATCGAACTCGACAATTTTATTGACAGATAACCCTTCTTGCCTTGAGCTATTCTGTAAGCTTGATTTGCCTCTAAGTTGAATATAATCGAACTCAAAGGTCTTTAGCAGATAACCCTTCTTGACTTAAGCTATGCTGCAAATGATGTGCCTTGGAGCTGAGCGGAGTCGAACTCGAAGGTCTTTTGGTCACAGATAACCCTTCTAGCCTTGAGTTATGCTGTAAATGATGTGCCGTTGAGCTGAGCGTAGTCGAACTCAAAGGTCTTTTATTGGCAGACAACCCTTCTAGACTTAAGTTGTGTTGCAAATGATATGCCTTGGAGCTGAGCGTAGTCGAACTCGAAGGTCTCTGGTTGGCAGATAACCCTTCTCGACTTAAGCTATGCTGCAAATGATGTGCCCTGGAAGCTGAGTGTAATCGAACTCGGGGGTCTTTGGCAGATAGCCCTTCTCGACTTAAGCTATGCTGCAAATGATGTGCCGTTGAGCTGATCGTAGTCGAACTCAAAGGTCTTTTGTTGGCAGACAACCCTTGTAGACTTAAGTTGTGCTGCAAATGATATGCCTTGGAGCTGAGCGTAGTCGAACTCGAAGGTCTTTGGTTGGCAGATAACCCTTCTCGACTTAAGTTATGCTGCAAATGATGTGCCCTCGAAGCTGAGTGTAATCGAACTCAGGGGTCTTTGGCAGATAGCCCTTCTATGCTGCAAATGATATGCCGTTGAGCTGATCGTAGTCGAACTCAAAGGTCTTTTGGTCACAGATAACCCTTCTAGCCTTGAGTTATTCTGTAAATGATGTGCCCTCGAAGCTGAGTGTAATCGAACTCAGGGGTCTTTGGCAGATAGCCCTTCTCGACTTAAGCTATGCTGCAAATGATGTGCCGTTGAGCTGATCGTAGTCGAACTCAAAGGTCTTTTGTTGGCAGATAACCCTTCTCGACTTAAGTTATGCTGCAAATGATGTGCCCTCGAAGCTGAGTGTAATCGAACTCTGGGGTCTTTGGTAGATAGCCCTTCTCGACTTAAGCTATGCTGTAAATGATATGCCGTTGAGCTGATCGTAGTCGAACTCAAAGGTCTTTTGGTCACAGATAACCCTTCTAGCCTTGAGTTATGTTGTAAATGATGTGCCCTCGAAGCTGAGTGTAATCGAACTCAGGGGTCTTTGGCAGATAGCCCTTTTCGACTTAAGCTATGCTGCAAATAGTTTGTTTTAAAAAATGGCTTCCCTTAACGGGTCGAAGCCGGTCATGATTCTTCAGGTGGTTCCTCTGAGCGAGAACCAAGTAAGACAATCTTTGGATGACTCCCATTTTATGGGAAAGCCCGTTGATGAATTCTGACAACCAAATATCTTCCGTTGTGGAATTAAAATCTGGCTTGAAGACATAAACTGGAAACATGTTGCTCATTGTTGAGTTGAGCTGAACTGAATTTGATCTGAATTGGTTCTCGAACCCATCTGAAATTGGTTCTGAGATCTGTAGATATGTAAAGTCGGTTGAGGTGTAGCTTCTTGCTGCTGAGTTACACCATCGTTATTTAAAGGTGCTTGCAAGTCGAGTAGCCTTCATCCTGAAGTCGAAGCTTGACTCTGAAAGCTGCAAAATTATGCATGCTAAAATGATGGATGTGATGCACCTAAGTATGTCTAAGATGCATGCAACATGAATAAATTATGTGTTATTTCTTGGATGGAGTCTCGTGCTTTGTCTGCCAATCTGGTCCATGGAATCGATCGTGCCCCATTTGCTTCTCGAGCTTGGGCTTTACAGACATTTCATATCCGAGATTGTTCTGTTTGAAAATGTTTTTCTCATTTTTCTTGTTTCAGGAGAGAAAATGATAAAAATGCTGTAAAATATTATTCGTAATTGAATCAAATTATAAACGTGAGTTCAAAGAATATCAAAGGAATCAATAGCTCTTTTAACGTTTTCAGAGTTACAGCTCTTTGACAAATGTTCAAATGGATGGGTTGACTTTAGTTTGGCCTCCTTTATAAGGTTTTGGTAAAAAAATGTCATTTTTTTGAAATATCGAACCATGCTTTGGCATTTCAATTAGGCGCGGACAAAATGATGCAACTAACTTAATCAATTACTAGACCTTTTATTTCGATCCTCTGAAATCTTCCATTTGTTCAAGCTTTGCAAGCTCCTCTAACCAAGGTAGTGCAAAAAATATCGGTCTAAAAATGAAATTCTTGAGTGCTGGTGTGTAGTTGACTATAACAGGTGTTCCTTAACTCCCTTAGTCCATTTTACCGAAAATTTCTTGCTTAGATAAATTTGATTTAACTTGTCATTATCTGGCTAGCTGAATCCATAAAGCCAGGGCATTTAACCAATTGCTTTAGAGGGACAGCTTAATATTATAATCACTCTTATCAAGTTAACTGAAGGGTTCATCTCATCACAGCGTCTTCGGCCTGACAAGAGCAGTGGAGCAAACACCGAATTGCCAAGTGTCCGAGCAATGTCATGGTTTGAACGTAATCTACTCATAAGGCCAGGGCTTTCAAGTTTCATCTATAACCAATTGCCTTAGTGGAATAGCTCAGCTTTATAGATTTAATTTCTTAAGATTGTCAAGAAGAACCTGTTATAGCCTAGGTGTTTTTGAAAGTCAAGGAATCTCATCTTTAGAGTTCAATTTCCAAGCAACTGACCTAAACTAGATTTGCCCACTCGACTATTCCACCTGCGAAGATCGTGATCATCATTGAACATCTTAAATAAAAAACATAGTAATTGTCATATGCAAATGATGCCCCATGTTGTCCGTACCTTATGAAAGGAAAAGGTTGTATTAGTTAATTGTAAGAGCAGGGTACGGTGTTTAAGGGTATATTTTGGGTAAGGTCAAGGTCCTTGTTTTAAAACATGTTACTTTGTCAAAGATCCGTAACTTTGAACCATTCACAGAGTTTCTTAATTCAAATGATATTCAAAGAATTGCAAGTTTGCAAATGTGATCCATTGCTTAACATCTTTAAAGTAACATAAATTTATTTAAAAGTCCTTATAAAAACTTGAGAAAAAAATGAAAAAACAAATTCAAACAAAATGTCTCAAATGATGAAATGGTCTTCCTCACTTGGATGCCCCCAAGTTGTTGAAGTCGATCCGATTCTTGTTACGTATTTTCTGTATGATTCTCTTGATTGTGGAGTAATTCTCGATAGTGTGCCCTGGGACTCCGCTGCAATGAGCGTTCTCATCATACTACATGGGGTACGGGGCTTCATGGATTTCTCTGGATATGGTGACACCACATGTGTGTCGAACAAATGTTGGTAAAGCTCCTTATATGTCATAGGGTCGAAGTGTTCTCATTTTTTGATGAATCATGTGAAGATAGTTAATGTGAATGTAAAGAAATGAACAAAATGCAAAATGTTTAAATGCATGAAGCATGAAATGTCCGAGGCATTGATCCGAAAAATGTGCCTATTATTCTGAATAATCCTTATTGGGGACAAAAATGTTACGTCTGAAGAGACAAAACTTTTTGATGGTATAGATCCCGCACAGCCTCTGGCAAGTTGATTCGTCTTCCGCTTCTTCACCGGTTGAATATCCTGTCGAACTGTTCCAGCTTCTTTGGCTAAACTTGTGCGGGTGACGAGTTGCTTGCCCCAAAAAAGATCTCGAATGACTGCATCTCCGACCTTCACTCTATGCCGAGCTCGTTCCAAACGAAAGTGTCTTTGGAGCCTTCCATCCGAAGTTTGTCGACTTGTTTTTGGAATTCATCAATAATGGTCTGCAGCTTAGCTGGGGGTTCTGCCACTTGTTATCGTAGTTTTCAAAAGGAGTTTCTGGGCCAGCAACATTTTCCTCGTCTTGCCCCTGCAACCTTTGCCTCTGAATATTCTTTGACCACGGCTGGACTTCTGAGCTTTTTATCTCTTTGTATTATAACCCCTTTGTCCATTAATACAAATTATTCATGTTTAACAAACACATTTTTTGTGGATCAACACATCGTTTTAAATGATGCAAACGATGAACACAAAATAAAAGAGAACAAAAAAAAAATAAAAGGGTTAGTGAGGTAAATCAAAACAATAAACAAAATGAAAAATCCTGCCCCACATGATATCTACTCTGCATGCTTTAATTCCTACCCGGACATGATCTCTATCCCGCATGCTAATTTCAAACAAATCCTAACCGCATATTTGTCTAGTTCGCATGCTTTGAACAGAAAATAAAGCAGGAAACAAAGCATCCTAGGGTTTGGAATGAGGTCTTGGGGTGGGCTCTAATTCCCTACACTCTCCTGGTTTAGGTTCTAAAAAGGTACTCGAGTTCTCCTTGCCGGTGCCCCCTTGGGCTTACCAGACCCTTAGTCCTAAGCCCATCACAGGCTTGTGTGGACTAAGTTAAACTCGAGAGGACACATTCCCTTATGCCCATACGGAGAATAAATTCACACGAAGGCATAAGGCATATGAATCCCGAAGGCTACTTGCTAGGCCCATACGGTGAATAAATTCACACGAAGGCGTCGCTTTCACCCCCACTTAAAACGGGTTTGGAGCTCGGGTATAGAGCCTGAGAAAACTTTGAAAAATCTGAAATCATTAAAAAATGTTAGTACAACTATTTATTTGAAAAATAATCAAAGGTAAATAATTGGAACCGAATAAATAAATTAAAATTTACAATTTTCACATAAAAAGACAACCGGAAATTAATTCTGGCCTGACTCACTTACATGTCCCCAGCGGAGTCGCCAAGCTGTCGGAACCGTCTTTCGGTTGGGGCCCGGAATTAGGTTTCAACTTGAATGAATTGGATTAGAGTCGCCACCGACCACTTTAAAATGAATTTAGGTGGGTCGGACACCATCTTACCTGATTTGCGTTGTACCAGAAATGTGTCGGGTTCGGGAGTCGGTTACAGTCAAGGAAGGATTAGCACCCTTGAACCGCCCTTTCGATACCAATTAATTCATCGGTTGTCTTTAATTGCGAAAATTAAAATTTAAAATTAAAATTTAAAAAATCCGATTCGAATTACTTACCTCTCTGATCGATTTACGAAGACCCCTTAAAAAAAGAAATGTTAAATAAAAAAAACAATGAATAAAAATGTAATAATCAAATTAACTAAAATGATAAATCAAAGGAGAAAATAAATAAATAAATAAATAAGGGAAAATGAATAAAAGGAAAAAAATATTAAATAAATAAAAAAACATTTAAGGGAAATGAAAGAATAATAATAATAATAATAATAATAAATATTAAAACGAAAATCAAAAAAAATAAATAGAGGGCCAAATTGAGACCACCCCAAAATTAAGGGATTAAATTGAAAAAAAATGAGCTGCAAAACGAAGAATAAAAGGTTAGGAGGATTAAACAATAATTAATCCTAAATTTCGAATATTGACTAAAATATGAACAAAATAAAATTTGAAATCCGAATTAAAACTGTTGAAAATTTAATCCAGTGACCAAAGTGTAAATGTTGGATCTTACAGTGACCGAGGAAACGGTTTACCCGTGCACGAAAAATGAGCAGAAACCTCTTGCAAAACGACGTAGTTTTGGAATATCTATATATACATAAAACTAAGGCTTGATTCAACCTCACCCCCCCATTTGTTACAATATCAGAAAAATAAAAGGGAGAGAGAGAGTTGGAAACTCTCTCAACCCCTAGCCGGAGAAGGTCCATCCGCCGCTTCCCGCCGCTCCGGCCGCCACCGGTGGCGGTCGGAAAGAACTCGAAGTCTCCAAAACGTTCGTTCCAGTCCAGTGAGCCTAAAACCCATGACCAAATCCCCAAAATAGACCCAAATAAACGCAGATCTAAACAAAAAAAACCGCTCAGTATCTACCCTTTCTTGACGAAAACTCTTCGCCTTCTCGGTGGCTCTTCGGTTCCGACGAGCCTCTTTCTTTGCTCGGGTCTCGCTCGTTTATTTTGTGTGTGCTTTTATGAGTTTTGTTTCTGCTTTTGGTTTATGGTTGTGCTTCGTTGTTTTGCTGGTGGCTTTTGTGTGTACTGTTGCTCGATGGTTTTGTTTTTTCTCACTGTTGGTTCTCGGCTTACTCTCTGTTGATGGTTCTATGTGTTGATGGTCGTTTGTTCTCTCTGTGGATACCGTTGATGGTACTGTTGTTGGTGTTTTTGTCTAGATTTGGTTGTGTTTAGCTGTGTTGCCTGGTTTCGCTCGGTTTACTGTTGATCTTCCCCCTCTGTCCTGTTCTGTCTGGGGGTATTTATACTCTCTCGGCCGGTGAGCGTTACCGAACTTCACGGGATGGGTCAGTCCCGTGTGGTGGCGCGATTTTCGGCCTGTGGGAAACTGAGCTGTTGTGACTCGATTCTTGCAAGATTTGCGTTCTGTTATGGAACGTGTTTGTTGCATGTTTGACCGGTTTCATTTCCAGTGACGGCTGATGCTTCTGCCTGTTGAAATTGCTTCTGGCCGTTGGATTGGGTCAGATCCAACGGTCCAGATCTGGCTGCTCATTTGATGGAATATTTAGTGATTCAGAACCCTAGTTATCATGTGATTTGAGCCATTGATCACTGCTTGATCTAACGGCTGTGCGGCGCTGGGACTAAGTTTAGAAACCCTAGCTTGGCAACTGGGTTGGGTCAGGCCCACCTGATCTGCTTGGACCTCATTCTGGACCCTGAACAGAAAAACAAGAACAAAATAATTAAATAAGAAATAATAATAATAAATAAAATAATTACAATAATAATAAATGATAATAAATAATAATAATAATATAATAATATAATATATATATATATTTTAAAAAAACATATAATATATAATTTCCAAAATGTTTTTTTTAATTATATAATATATATATTTTAAAAAATGTTTTCAAAACTATATATCATATAAATTTTCAAAAATGTTTTTCAAAACTATATATTATATACGTTTTCAAAATATATATATATATATATATTATATACATTTTCAAAATGTTTTCAAAGACTATATATTATATACATTTTTTAAAATGTTTTCGAAAAAAACATATATTATATATCATATAATATATACTTTTCAAAAAGCTATTCTCAAAATTATATATATTATATGTATTTTAAAACATTTGTAAACTATATAATATATAGATATGTATATATATAAATAAAAATCAGACGAAAATAGGTGTCTATACATATCAAAATAAAAAAATGCCAAGACATTTTGATAACATTCACCCTTTCCTCTTCCTCTATAACGAGCTTGTTGATCGATAAGAACTACTGCATGTTCGAGTGTTCCATCTAGTGCACCTACTGCACCCTTTATTGAAGAACATAAATGGTAAGAAACTGAAAATTTATTTTTGGGTAATAACAAAAAAATTTAAAAAAAACATACTGGAAATATTTCTCGTAGGTGTCTTTGTCTTTGCGTCATATTCGGTGTTGTTTCTTGTGATATTGGAACTATTATTTCTCTTGCGAATTTTATCATTGCACGTCGTACCTCATGAAAGCATTTATGAATGGTTTGTGTGGAGTGTTGGAATCTCCTTTTAACCATTCGAAAATGTTCATTATGACCTATAATTGTTAGAAATATAGCCATTTTCTCTTCCACGGTTATCATCCTACTATTTTGCAACTAATTTCTTTGTTTTAAATGGTTACATAACAATATATATACATCACGAGATAGACACATTAATTCATCGCATTGTGTATTCGACCCAAATAACAATTCTTGTGTATATGCATGTCCGGTGAATTATTGTCTCGAATTCTTTCAACTCTTGGTGATGCATTTACCATCCAAAACCACCATATAATGATTAGAAACACCTCCTCGTCATTTAAATCCATATAACACCTAGTCGAAACAAAATATAAAATACATCATCAAAAAGACACATTCAAGTTGTAGATAAATGATAAAAGGACATCATTAAAACATAACAAAGTATTTCTAATCATCAAAAAGTATTTCTAATCCAAAAAGTATTTATAATCCAAAGATATTTCTAATCCAAAAAACACATTATAAAAGACATCTCCTTGAATCATCCCAAAAGTCCAAGCTTACGCCCAACATTTTTAATTTAACTCTCACACGCCTCTATTTTTAGTACCAACCAAATTTCCTCAAATCAAAACTTTCACCAAATAGCAAAAGTGCAGTCTGATACATCGGGTCTTGTGTATCGCTTACAACTTTCTCCAACTTCTCAATGCAAGCACTCATATGATCTCTTTTGGTTTTTTCAATCATTATGTTAGTAATGTTGAATATATCATCCGCAACAGTCATAATGTTGTGAGTGTTTGTTCGATCTTTTCTTTTTTTACTTTTATGTTGAGAGCCTAAGGAACATTCTTGTGTTGGAACTATTGTTTCTTGTGATGCACGAGAGGAATTCTTTAGTTGTTGGCTATCATCATCTTCATTCAATTCGGGATCATCTAGTTCTTCTTCTGGATGAGAAGATTTAGAAGTCGGCCCCCAACCATCAATACCAATACAAGCTGACCCGTCAAATAGTTGCATACACAACTCGGGATACAATAAGGGTGAATTACTCAGTGGTTCTGCATGTTTGTTGCACTGGTTCATAAAAAACTATATATAAGTATATATGTATAATCTAGGCAACTAAAATAAATAAATACATTATAATAATGCAACCTTCATTTCGATTTACCATTCTTCTTCAGTTAAATTGAATGACTTTGTGACCGGATTGTAAAAATTCCCCGTCTTGTTAAATAACTTTGACCACACGTTATATTTTCCTCTAATATAATCATAATGATTTTTCATTTGGCATTGTTTAGCAACAATACCACATTCCTTTTTTCAATTTCTCTCCAACGTTTTTCCAAGATGTAAACTTTAAAATATTTCCTTCTCGTCCATGAGAGTTGACCTCATGTATACATGCTTCGAGAAATAATTTCTCTAGTGCTTCATTTTTCCAACTGATTCTAGGCCTTTTTTGTTTCGATGATTCTTCAACATCGGACATGTCTAAACGGGCTGAGAAATATTAAGAATTAATTAATTATGTGAAGCAAAAGGCATTCACTTCAATACTAGGATTCGCCCACAAAATACCACATCATTTGCCTATAACGTCAAGCTCCAGTGAATTAGAAAAATAAATTAACTTCATATTTCAGGATTGATGTATCCACATCAAATAAATGATGCATAAGCACTGCCATTCTACATAGGTAATTACCCCTACATACTTATTTCATGGTTCTAGAAGAAAAACATATACAATTGACATAACTAATGTAATAACCAATCAGAATAAAATTTTCAAATTAAACTTATAAATCTATATAAAATGTAACAAAACACCATATCCCGACCGGCTAGATGGATTTTTTCTGCATGCTTCTAAAATTCTCAGACATCTTAAAACAAAGAGATTGGTATTTATTTTCGATATCATATCGCAATTAAACGACCTTAGAACATGATAAAGAAAAGGTATCAAACAATTTTCTTTTTAATATTGTGCTTTTACGATTAAACAAAAACACAGAAGGCAAAAGAAAGAAAGATCACTTTTCTTGTCTTCGAACCCACAAACAAATATATATAAATCAAGAGACTAACGTATATGAAACATTAATTTGTGACCAGTCCCTAAATATATGAACATAGTTCTTATCTTCACTCCATATATTGAATCAGTTCATGCATCAATCGTAAATTAAGGTTTATATGTGAACGACCCTAAATATACGAGGAAACAATTACTTTATACGAATATCTACAGGGATTAATCGATCCACAAATGAATTGAACTACTTAATAACTATACAGACCTTGCATCTATTTCACGAAATTAACAAGAACATAATACGGGGATGAACCGATTGCAGTGATGAATCAACCCGAAAAAAACGAGATCAGAAAATGGTTATTTAAAACAAAGAAATAATTACCTGGTTGTGTTCTCTATGGTTGATGAATCGACCGAAGGAGGTGAACGACAGAAGAATGATGAATGACAGAAGGAGGATGAATCGATTGCAGAACGTAAGAGGAATCGATCTCTGTTTTGGGCTTATGAAAGAGAGGGGTAAGAAAAGGGTATTAGCGTAATGACCAAAAGTCTGAATGATTAGGCGTCATTTTTGAGTTTGAATCGGTCTGATTCAGCGTTAAAATCTGAATGGTTCAATTAAAAGCCAAACAAACAACCCCTAACATTTATAGAATTCAGTTTTTCAAGATGAGTGTTAAAAATGCTTTTTCTTGTATTCAATTATATGTACAATAAGTATATAATCCTTTATACACACACAATAATCAACCTATCCATCTACCTGCCTAATTGAACCCTAACTAACTTCAACAACTAACAATTTCTACACTCTCCCTCAAGTTGAAGGTAAAACTACTTTTTAGCCCCAACTTGGAATTAGTTGGTTGTGCTATGCAGATCCGAACACTTTTGTAAACATATCTACAAGTTGTTTTGGGATGTTACATGCTCTTTATATATAAGGTTCTCCTTGATTTTCCCTATCACAAAGTGACAGTCCACCTTAATGTGCTTAGTCCTTTTGTGATATATTGGATTCGCCGTAATCTACAACGATGTCTTGCTATCACAAAAAAGCCTCATTGGTTTTATTAATTTAACACCCAAATCTTTTATCAAACCTGTTAACCAAACAACTTTTGTTGATATGATTGGCATGCTCTTGTATTCTGCTTCGGCAAACGATCTAGTCGTCGTATTTTGCTTCTTCGATTTCTAGATATTAGTGACTCTTCAAGATTTACACATAAGTCAGTTACTAACTTCCTTGACATCTGACACGTTGCCTAATCCGAATCACAATAAGCAACCAATCAAAAGTCTCTATCTGGCTTTAACAAAACCCCCAAACATATATTTTACTTCATGTATCTAACAACCCTTAGAGCAGCATCCATGTGCGATTGTTTGACTTTGCATGAACTGACTTAAATGAGTCACATCAGGTTGTGTATGAGTTAAGTAAATGTGTCTCCCAATGAGTCTTTGATAAACTATTTTATCTTCGAACAATCAATCAGCTTGATGTTCCCGAGTAACTTCATCATACTCTAGTGCAGTCAACCTAAAGTTTTGTTCTAATGGTGACAAAACCAACTTTTTAGCACATAAACCCATATCCTTAATAAACTCCAAAGTGTACTTTTTTTTACTCAACAAAAAATATTCTTGAGACTTAGAAACCTCAATTACTAGAAAATATCTTGGTTCTCCCAAATCTCCCATTCTGAAATTTTGACCTAAAAAAACTTTCAATTCAACAACTATGCCATCATCAATACCAACAACTAACAAATCATCTACATAAACTAAAACTATAGTAATTTTATTACCTGACTTCCTTGAAAAACACTGAATAATCTTGTTTGCTCTGCACAAAGCCAGCAAGCAACAAAGCTTTAGTAAGTTTCGCATTCCATTGTATGGATGCTTGCTTAACCCATATAAAGATTTCTGTAGTCGACAAACCTTATGATCCCCCTGACTGCGAAATCCATAAGGTAATATCATGAAAATCTTTTTATGAAGATCCCCTTGTAGAAAAGTATTTGAAACAACCACTTGACAAATAGACCAATTACATGAAGTAGCAAAAGCAAAAATCGTCTGATCAGTTACCATTTTAGAGACTGGGGAAAAAATTTCCTGATAATCAATTCCTTCTCTCTAAGTATACCCCTTTGCAACCAACCGAGCTTTAAGCCGCTCAATCTCACCAGAAGCTCAATACTTGATTTTGTAAACCCATTTACACTCAATAGAACTTTTCCCATGAGGTAAAGATTCAATAGACCACTTATGATTAGATTCTAGTGCTTTAATTTCCTCATGCGTAGCTTGAACCCAACATGGATGTGTACAAGCCTCAGAGTAAGTATGTGGCTCAAAAGTAATTAAAATAGAAGCAAGACAAGCTGGAGTAGTAGAATTTGAAGAAGCAAAATCAGTATGTTGAAAAGGATGAACAAAATCACTTAGCCAAGTAGAGGTTTTAATAGAACGAGAAGATCGTCTAGAAGTATCAACCAAAGAAGCTACAGGATCGGGAATATGGGATGTGGGTACATATGTACTTATTGAAGCTTGTGAATTACCAGGAATAGGCGAGGGAGAAAAATGAACAACATCAAGAATAATCAAAAAATTATAATCGGGTACTTGGGGGTGTTAGAGGAAATAAAACTTTATAACGGGATGAAGAAGACAAATAAAAAGGAAAAACATCTTCAACAAATCGCACATCTCAACTTACAAAAAACACTTAGTGTCAATACCAAATGTAGATATCTTTTTTTAGTAGTAGAGCAACCATAAAAAATTGAAGGAATAGACTGATAACATTTTATCATGATAACGAGGTTGAACAACATAGCAAAGACAACCGAAGAAACGAAAATGAGAGAAGCCATGTGGCTTTTGATATAAAACTTCAAAGGGAGATTTCCAAGAATGAATAGATGAAGGAAATCTATTTATTATGTAACAGGCAGTCAGAACACACTCCCACAAAATTTAATTGGGACTTTAGATTGAAAACGCAAAGCCGAGCAATTTTTAAGGGTATGTTTGTTTCGGGGTATGTGGGATTACTGAGGAATGGAATCCTCATTCTTGCGTTTGGTTGGCCAACATTCCCATCCTTTAGTAATCTTACATCCTAGTAAAACATTTTCGAGAACCAGAAGTCATGGAATGCATAGCAAGTAGATCAAGCATTGAAGAAACACACATTAAAGCTCTCTAAGCCTCCTCTTGGACAATCATGGAGTAAGTTTGATTAACCGACGTCAAGGGTTGCATTAACAAAATTTGACTCCGAACAGCTTCATAGGTCTCATTGAGACACATGAGAAATTGCAGAAGACGTTGTTTATTAGCATACCTCAAATTCTATTGAGCATCCTCACAGCCACAATTTGGAAATGGCACAAGAGTATTGAACTCATCCCATACCAACTTCAGTTTTGTAAAATAAGATGAAACAAAAGAATCACCTTGATTTAATAGAGATATTTTGCGACGCAGAAAAAATAGCAAACCGTAAACCTTGTGAAATATTTCTTTGAGATCTTTTCAAGCAGTAGTAGCATCAGACGCGAAAATGATTCAAGCGGAGAGCTCTTAACTTACGGTGTTGAGAATCCAAGAAATGACGATATCATTACTTCGATCCCACTAAGGATGAAGAACCTCGACATGATCCTCTCGACTACAAAGTCCATTAACAAAAAACGAGTTTGTTTTTTGTGAGAAAAGCAATGTGAATTGATCGACTCCAAACATTGTAATTGTTTAAGCCATTCAATTGATGAGAGACCTAAACGGTGCCTAGAGTATCGGACGAATGAAGATAAAGAGGATGATGAAAAATAATCTCATCCATAGCCAAACGAAGAAGACGGTTGGAAGAAGAAAAGATAAAAAAAATTGGGGGAAAGAAAACCTAATCAGGAACTGGGAGGAAAACCAAAAGGAGAAGCCCAACTCTACAGGCCCAAAAACAGTCAAAAAATCGGCTCATATGATACCATGTTAAAAATTCTTTTTCTTGTATTCAAGTATTTGTACAATAAGTATACAATCATTTATATACAAACAATAATCAACATATCCACCTAACTACTTAATCGAACCCTAACTAACTTCAACAATCAACCATTTCTGCAATGTGTTTGTTGTTGTTGTTTTGCCCTCCCGATTTTAAGGCTTCGTCGGGTTTTTTAGAGTATAAATTTGGGTCGGTTTGGATTTAAGGTGAAAAATACCCGATCCGACCCAAAAAATAATATGGTTTTATATTATATACTTATGGATAATTACAATATTATCTCTCTTTATATTATTTTTTTTATTGAAATCATTATTTTATTGAATAAAATTAATATTTTTATAATATTTTTTAGATCAAGTCAAGTCATATTCGAGTTTTATTTAAAAAAACTTGGGTTGGGTTTCGGGTCTAGTGAAGTCGCCCTAAACTCGAATTGGGTCAGATTCGAGTGAAGGGGTTTATTTTTCGAGTTGGATCGGATTGACTAAAAACTCGATCCATACCCATCTCCAATTGAACATGAGCAAGAAAAAGTATGTCACATAGATAAAAGAACACTTCAAATTTCAGTATATTCTAAGTTGTTGTTTAATCACTAATTTGGTCTGCCTACATTTTGCACTCACCAAAATCCTCAATTGTCCCCGTAAACTGTTAGATATTAACTCAAACTCTATGCATGCTATGGTACTACAGTTTGATCATAGGTTTGTGCAGAGCTAGAATGATGGATGATGCCAACAATGTTTTGTCGATGTTGAAAGAAGTCGGGTTTCGCCCAGACATTGTATGCTACAATTTGCTTGTTAGAGATTTTTAAAATAAAAACATGGTAAATACTAAATAGATCTCATGTCATCAAGGAAATGCATGAAGATTCTTAAGGAGTAGTTTTCTGAATAAAAAAAAGTGCAAGGCTTCATACAAGAAAACAAGGTTTATCATCTTTTAGTCTATTGAATGGCTAAAAAAGAGGGATTGATTTTTGGCCTTATTTCTTATGAATATTCATTTAAAAAAATTATTTTATTTTAACTACTATCTTAAATTCTTGAGGACAACTGACGTTTCTTTTAGGCTTAAACATCAAAAAGGTTTCCAAAGTATACATTTTTTTAGTTTAGTGTCTAACGTTTCATTTCGTAACTCAGTTTAGATCAGATCGTGTCAGGTCGTTAATTCCGGTCGTTAAATACCACATGACATTGGTATAATATTAAAAAATAATTTTCATTTTCCCCCTCTTTCTTCTCTTCCCTCTCTTCCCTCTCATCTTCTCATCTTCCCAAACCAAAACAAAAAATGATTTTCCCTCTTATCTTTCCTCTATTTCTATCATCTTCCCTTTCTTCCCCTTCACTCTCTTCCCATGCAATCGGTCCAGCATTCGTCGGGGTTAAAATCTGGTCGGCAACCGGACATCCACAACGAGCCTTGGAGTAATAATGGTTCATCACTGGTGAAGCTTTTAACTTCATAGTCCATTGAGGGAATATGAGTTTCGTCTGATTCTCGACAACAAAAACAGCTAGAGATAAAAAATTGGCGGTCATCATTGGTTCTTCTATGTTGAGCTGCTTATTAGTTGTTATTGTTCGTTGTATTCCCCCCCCCCTCCCCCCCAATCTTCAAAGTGAAAAGTAAAAGCAAACTTAGAATACAGTGCTGCTTTTGCATAGGCAAACTAGTTGCGGAGGCTTATCCCAATCCGAACCCACTTTCGCCTCTATCTTTAACGACGCATGTTGGGGAGACACAAGTTTATAAGCTTTCAGAACTGAAAGATGTTACTCATGGATTTAAAGAATTCAACGAGCTCGAAAGAGGGACCTTTGGTTTTGTCTATAAAGTCGTTCTTCCTGATGGTCAGCAAGTTGCAATCAAGTGAGCTAATGGTGCTACAATAATTCACACCAACAGCCGAGATTTTGATGCAGAGTTAGAAATACTATGCAATGTAAAGCATGCCAATATTGTGCTGAAATAGGGGAAAGACTACTCGTATATGAATATGTCTCATGGCACACTTCATGACCATCTTCATAGGGACCTCTCGTCGTTAAGTTGGGACTTGCTATTGAAGATAGCATTCCAAGTTGCGAAAGGACTCGAGTATCTTCATAATGAACTCACTCCCCCCATCGTTCACCGAGACCTGAAGACTTCAAATATACTTTTGGATGTCGATGGTTGCACTTCATTTTCGGTAATCGTGGTTGCATCGTCGACAAATTAATCATGGTCGAACTGACAACCCGTAACCATACCATCAAAGCTTTGTGTATGAAAAGGTTTCGGGGTTATTGTAGTAAATTGGTTCGTTGTTTATGGCGGTTTCGAGGTTCAATCGGAGAGAATTGGAGTATGAAAAAGAGAAATAATAGCAGGGGAAGTTAAGTCATAGAGGGATGTTGCAGAGTGACGATAAAGAGAGTTGAGGGGAAAAGGAAGAGAGGAAAGGGAAAGAGATGAAATTAATTAATTTATTATTATTTTAATTATAAAATTCATTTTTTAATATTAAATAAATGTCATAGAGCATTTAACAACTGAAATTAACAGTCCGTCGTAGCCAAACCCAAACTTAATTACAAAATAAAACTTTATAACTAAACTGGAATGAAAAAAACGTTAATAGAGTAAACTAAAAAAATGCATACATTGTACACCTTTTTTACGTTTAAGCCTTTATTTTATTCTTCATTTAAATCTGGATTGGCAATATTCTATTGGTGAATACATATAAATAATCATGTCATCTCGAAAACACAATGGTCATTTCCAGTTCAAACATAAATACTAGGAAATTAAATGTTTTCTAAAAGCAAAAAATTAAGACTATAAAACAAGAAACTAATTATTTTTTCCTATACAAGACTCGTTAATAGAATCCAATAAAGCTACACAATAGAAAGCATTGAGGTTTAGATTCTACCAAAAAGTGTGTGTGACGTATACAATAATTAAAGGTAAAAAAAAAAGAGACGTATCCGATCAAGTTTTATATGCCACCGGCGGCAGTAGCGGCACTGTTCACAATCCAAGGAAGGTCAAAAGTAGCCGGATGATTATCAGACCAAGAATCTCCGGCGACCATTTCAGCAATTCCTTCTAAACCCTCGAAGAAATCATCACTCACCGCCGTGTCAGACATCCCAAACTCATCTTCCCCACCTTCTTCAACCAAATCCTCCCTGCTGTCCACCTTCGTACTCTGAACCACAACCCCTTCATCCACGGAGGTCGCCGGAGACGAACTGTCCACGGGTTTACCCGGGGAAGGTTTGGCGGAGTCACCGGCGGCGGCAGTTTGTGGAGTGAAAGCCTTCTGGCGGGTGCTGCCAGCGAGTGAATTCCGGTGCGTCGGAGCAGGGTGGTTGTGTTCACCCGTGTACGTGACTATGAACGTATTCGGGTCGGATCTGTGTCGTTCAACTTGTTTCCGGGCCGAACACCCCTTCGAGCTACTACATCTGTAATACCCCCTGTTATTAAACGAAAACAAACAACAAAACCCATTAATTGAATATCCATACAAAAAAAAGCAAATTTTATTATAAAATCAAATTATTCACCATGATTTACCTTGGATAAGGAGATCCTTTGATGGGCTTTTGACCGTATTTTCTCCATGCCCACACATCTGATGATAAACCCTCCGCCGGAACTAGGCAAACCCTTTTAAGCTGATTCTTTCTGTTCAAGGGGAAAAGCAACAAAAAATTTCAACTTTTGAGCTCCTCAATTGAAAACATGTTTTAATGCCGAAATTTACCTTCTTTTAGACCGATAATTATGAGAACCGGGAGTCCTACAAGTGCTACTAGCTGTTGTAGCAGGGCCATACTGCTTGGGCTTGAGTTGATGTTCTTGCTGTTGTTTTATCTGTGAAGGAAGAGGCTGAGATTTGGAGAAGAAAGGCTTGTAAAGCTCATGCAATTCCTCCATATTATTCCCGGCTTCAAACTGATTCGGAAAAGACAACAACTGACCCGGAAAAGGCTCTTGACCAACAAATGATGGAAAACTGGATCGAGAGCATAAATCCGCCGTGAAGGAGCCGTTTGCAACACCGCAGCTTCCGCCGGTTGTCGTAACGGTGGCGCAACCTCTCACCACTGCATTTAAATCCCAATCAACATCCATGGGAAGTTTGTACCTTCTTCAGCAGGCTCCTGTGGCAAGATAAGGAAGAAAATCAAGAACAAAACAAGGCGCTGATTTTAGATGGTTGCGAATATAGAAAGAGGGGATTTGTATTGGAGTGGGCTTTTGCGATTATTATATATAAAGAACAAGGGGAAAAAATAAAATATTTTTTAAAAGAAAAAATGTAAAGTTGAGAGAGAGAGAGAGAGAGAGAGAGAGAGAGGTGGGATTGTTGGTTGACAAATTGGACATCTAAAAGCCTTATCGCTTCTGATTTGCTCTATCTATAAGCTTTGTGTTTCCGACATTGAAAACCGGTGTGGTTTTGGGGGTTGACATTTGTAAAATGTCAAAGGGGAGAAGAAGTCTACACGGTCTGATCTTCCTATTTATTTAATTGTTTCGTCTGTTCTAGGTGGAGGCTCGTGAATTACCGACAAAAGAGATTTCCCTAGGGAAAAAAGTGGTTGCCAGTTAATTTGGGTGCCCCCGACAATAAGCTGGGTCCTACTCTTATGATGCGTCGACGAGGCTTACAACTCACCCATTGATGACAACTTTTTATGAAATTAGCAAGGATTATTAACGTGATCAAATATTAACAATAATAAGATAAAACTTAATATTTAAATATTAAATTATTGATTTTAAATTAAATATTACAATCTAATTTGTTTGCATCGTTTGAATGAGATTAAGGGACTGTTTGTTTCCCGTAATTGAAATTACGGAATTGGTTTTCTCCGAATTCCCGTGTTTGTTTCACGTAATTCGTTTTCCGGAAAATGTTTTCCCGTGTTTGTTTCACGTAATTCGTTTTCCGGAAAACGTTTTCCCGTGTTTGTTTCACGTAATTCGTTTTCCGGAATGTAATTCATTTTCCTAATAACAGAATTTCCTTTGTGTTTTCTGTAAAATGACTTACGGATTCATTTTCCGTAAGTCATTTTCCGAACTTTTCACTTCAAAGCAAAAATACTCAAAATAATTTTATTTTATGAATTTAATATTAATAAATATTTTAATATAATTTTCATCAAAATATTATTATTAAAATATTTAAAATATATTTTTAATATTTATAATAATATAATATATAAATAATCAATTATATTATAAATATAAGATATATTTTTATTTTTAATATATAATAAATTTTTTTATATATTTAATAATGAATAATATTATTTATATATTTCAATAATATTTTAGTAAGATATTAAATATAATTAATATTTTTAAAATATAATATAGTACTATTACTTTAATAATAATTAATATAATTTATAAATTTTATTTCACTAAAATATACCGAAAAAATGTTTAAATAACATCTTCCAAACATCATAAAACGTTTTCCAGATGTTTTCCAGAAATGTAATTCATTTTCCAGAAATGTAATTCATTTTCCAGAATTCAAATTCCAGTAATTCATTTTCCAGTAATTCAAATTCCAGTAATTCAAATTCCAGTAATTCATTTTCTGGAAAACCAATTACAGCTAAACAAACAGACCCTAAGTGATATATGATAACTATAGGTAGTTCATTTTTTTATTTAGTGGTAGAAGAGTGATGATTAGTGATTTTAAGGTTTTTTTATCTTCGTGAGAATCAAAAAAAAAATTAAAGTGAGTGACATAGTTCGATCTATTCTCTAAAATTTTGTTAAGAGATTTTATAATGATTTTTAGAGATGATGAGCATAAAATCATCATAGTTACTTGTTTGTATGTTAAGTAGATATAGTCAGTTTAATGATAAATTTAATTTTGATAGGTCACATAAATATGTGAGAAGTCACATTAAAGGATAATGACTACTCGAGTAATATTGAATGTTTAGAACTCTTTTTCTCAATACGTTCTCCTGACTATGAAAGATTTTCTAGAGATAATATGAGGATGATCTTTGACTGAGGTATAATGAATCTGAATATGATGATGATTTAAAATAAATAAAAAATAAAATTTAATTTAAGTTAAGTTATTCAATTTTTAAAAATAATAATAAATAATGAAATAACTAAAAATATAATTGAAAATATAACAAAATTGAGTATTAAATAAAAAAATTAAAACATTAGTAAATAACTTCTATCAAACACATAATAATTAATTTTTGATCAATAAAAGAGAAAGAAAATGTTGACTGTATTTGATGAGCATACATTGAATATTGACTTCACTGTGTAAACTCTCAAATATAGAATAAGTAAAATGCCTAATCAATGTTGCTGGATGTTTTCTCTCTTTTCATTGTATTTTGACACTCTCGTGATGGGCACGTGCAGGTTTCGTCAAATAAATTGTATATTTAAGTGAATTTTGAAGAGAAAAAAGTCCAAATTACGTAAAATTCAAATTTGAAAAATTATTTATAATTTAACTTTAGATATTGAATTCGAATACAATTAATGTAAAGATTTAAATATTGAGTGTCAAATGATTGAGAATTATCTTAAAATAAATGATACGTTACACTTATCTCATATTAATTTAAAAAACTTAATATTTATAAAACCACTAACAACCCATCCTATAGTTGTCATCTTAAAGAATTAATCAGGACAGACTTCGTTAACTAAATTAGATAATCAGTTCGAATAAATCAGGATGAAATTTTCAAATTAAAAGGTAACTAAAAATATAATAATAGTAATAATTTTGCATGAAAGTTATTTATCAATTGAAATAAAATGGAATTATCGTTATTATTATTATTTATTTGTAGTTATCATTATTTTAATTCTCATTATTCCATTCCCTCCATAGATTCCGACCGGCGATTGGACATGACAAAAAGGAAAAAGGCAACGTGTTACTGTTGGATTCTCGGATAGCCGCGTGATCATAGAAAGCAGCGAGTTCCATATCGACGATTGATAATTGAAGCTGTAAATGTTCTAGTGAAATCTGGGTTGGCACATGGCGGTGGAGGCAGTACATAATAGGTGGCGGAGTTTGTTGTGGGCCCATGTTCTTTTCCTTTAATTTACCGTTGGAATCGGCATCGAGTGGCTCAATGCGTGTGGTTAATTTTTACATTTCTACGGAATCCAATGATGGAAAATCCGACGGCAGATGTATCGCACATTCTATGATAAAACTCTCTTTGAACAAAATTAATATTCTATTTTGGACCGGCGGTTTAGAAGATCGTGCGAGGCTGACACAGCATTAATAGGGGCGTTTGCCACTGTTTATTTTATTGGACCGACGTGGATGGCACGAGGGCATTGAATTGCAACCGTGTGAGGTCAATTTACCAACTGATCCAAATTTAAAATTCTACTCATTACAAAAAAAAAAAAAAGTTAATTCAAGCTGTAAATAATTTAAATAATATTTTAAGTTTGAGTTTTTATGTATGAAAAAAATTCTTATTGAAAAATGACAAAAAAATCAACTCCATTAATTACTAAAATATTACTAAATTTAAAATGTCGTAATAAAACCAATTTAAATAATTACAATTCAAGATTATACGAATATATAATCATCCTCGTAATAAAACCTTTAATAAACTTACTTGAAATCCAATTTGGCACACTCAATTGATAAATCTAACCCTAATCAATAACTGATATACACATTGCAAGGACCTGCATTGTTTTTTTTAGATCTTTAATGATTATACTTTGATAGCATTTGGAACTAGGAATTTATTATAACGAAGTTAAAATATATTTTTTATTTTAAAAATATAATTTTTTAATTGATAGCTGATAAATTTTCCTTATTTATTATATATATATATATATATATATATATATATATTTAAAATATAATTAGTAAAGTGAAGGCTCTTTTTGACTCCCACAAAGTTCCGCTTATCTAGATGGCATCATGCGTTTTAAAATAAGGTTATACTATTGTTAAAAAAAATTATACTTTAACAACAATAAGTTGGTCTAGTAGTGTAAGACATTAGGTCCCTTAAGCAAGGTCAGAGGTTCGAATCCTGACGTTTGTAAATGGAACAAACTGGGTTGGAAGGATCGCCATTGCCTCTATAGTATTCAATCTGGATTAGTCGGTCAATAGATCAGATACCAGTGATTAATTAAAAAAAATTATACTTTCGTTTTAAGCCTCTTTGTTTACCAAAAAAAAATATACCTACGGGATTCATTTTTTTTTACTTCATTAAATAAGATTATATGTGTTTCTGTAGAACCTAGTATAATTTTCATGTACCTTAATTTAGTGTGGGTAGGTTTATGTAACTTGTGCTAATTTACTTATTTATTTCTTTATTTTCGTGCAACAAATTTATTTAAATTTTTCCTTATAAAAAACTTATTTTAATTAATTACAATAACATTGATAACTGTGTGTATAATTTTAAGAAAGAAAAAATCTTTTATTTTATTTAAGATAAATTATTTATCTATCTTTAGGTTAAATTACCTGTTTAGTTACTGAGTTATAAAGTTGATTCAATTCTGAGCATCAAATAACTTCTTTTATCAATTAAATCACTAAGGTTTTATTTTTCATCAATCAAATTACAAATCTTTAAATAATTAATGATGAGACTGACATAACAATCTCAAATTTTGTGTAATAACACATTTAGTACTTTATATTTACACATCCATTGAATTGCATCCACACCTGGGTGCAAGCTATGTGTAAGAACTAAGAAAGTGAGCGTTACGATGGCGGCATCTGGCAAAGGCAAGCCACGTTTATCACATAGTGGTAGGGAAAGTTTTAATAACAATGGTCTAATTTAAGGTTAAATAACTATAGAAACGAACACAAAAAAAAGGGTGATAATATAATATTTTCATTTGAACTTAATTTAAAATGTAATTTTTTTAATATTTTCTATTGGTAACCGAAAATATTATGTTTTTATCTTTTTTTTTTATTACTTTTCTTTAACTTTAAATTAAACGGCTGTACAAGTACAACATAACTTCCCACTGTGTTAGCAATCAAATTTCTTTTATTTTTAGTGCTATTGCTATTATTACCATCTCTTGAGTTTTGTTGTTTGCAATCACGACATAAAAATTAGCTGACCCTTATTTCCATATGTAATGGGGTAAAGGGGAGGTATGATAGTAGATTAGTCCCAACGCCAGGTTGAGAGCAGTTTCCGTAAGAGACATCCGAATTATGAAATGTCTTCCGTGGGACTCGATCTCACGACCGCAAAGTTAAGAACCTTGTGCTCTACCAACTGAGCTGGATGGTCATTTCAATCATGCCATAAAAAGAAGCTAATATAATATTAAATGGAATTAAATTGT